AAACACTTCCATATACCTTAATTCACTTAACCTTAATAAACTCCCAAGAAAGATCATTATTTCCACTTATAGATAAGGAAACCGAGGCACATATAGGGTAAGTTGCTTCTGCAAGATCACCTAAAGGAGCAGTGTGAAGAAGAAGCAAGAACAACCTTCAGACCAACTATAACCCATATGCTGTTGCATCCCTTACCCAGGGTTTATGTCCCACTGCAGCTGCCGCCCTGCTCAAGAGAAAGACTGAGCAGGATGCTAAGGAGATAACGCCAAGGTGAAGGACGAACCAGAGAAGACCCGCAAGGTTGTCTGTTAAACCTGCTTCTCCAAAGCCAAGTCTAAGGAGGCCCTTGCAAAGAAGGGAGAGAAAATACCCAGAGATAAAGGGAAGAACTGATGCTGACAAGGAGGGGAATAACCCTGCAGAGAATGCAGATGCCTAAACAGACCAGGCACAGGAAGCCAAGGTGCTGAAGGTGCCAGGTGAAGTCTGTGCATTCGTGATAACTATGTACTTGTGATGACTGACTGTACAGTTTGAAATACTATTTTTATCAAGTTTTACAAAAATGCAGAATTTGGTTTTCTTTTTTCTTTCTTTCTTTATTTTAAGGTACGTTGTTAGCACACAGTGCACTTCATTTTTGTTTTCTGGGGACGGGATATCTGTCAGTGTCACTAATAGAACGTCTTGAAGCTGGATTGATGTGGGGAAAACACCTTTCCCTTCTAGTTTTTTGTTTGTTTTGTTTGTTTGAGACAGAATTTCACTCTTGTTGCCCAGGCTGGAGTGCAATGGCAAGATCTCTCAGCTCACTGCAACCTCCACCTCCCAGGTTCAAGCAATTCTCCTGCCTCAGCCTCCTGAGTAGCTGGGATTACAGACACCCACCACCATGACTGGCCAATTTTTTGTATTTTTAGTAGAGACAGGGTTTCACCATGTTGGTCAGGCCGGTCTCGAACTCCTGACCTCAGGTGATCCACCTGCCTCAGGCTCCCAAAGTGCTGGGATTACAGGTGTGAGCCACTGTGCTCGGCCTCCAGACACAATTCTAACCCCTCCAAAGTAATCACTGACTTTTTAAAATGTATTTTAACATATAAAAATTATACTTATCAAACATTGTACCAGCCTATAGACCACAGCTTTCTCACCCCTGCTTACTGTCTTTGGTGGTGGTAATCACTGACTTCTAATAACAAAGATCAGTTTTGCCTGTTTCTGTACTTCCTGTAAATGGAACCCTCTGGTATGTATTCTTGGTCTTCTTTAGCTCAATATTATGGTCAGAAGATTCACCCATATTGTTGTACGTAGTTGAGATTGTCCATTCTGATTTTGTGAAGTCTATGGTATGAATACACCCAAATTTATTTACCATTCTGTTGTTAATGGGCATCTGAATAGTATTTAAATACTTGCAGATGATAAACTTTAGTGATGAGCAGGCACAGCTATTTTCCAAACCATTCTTCTTCTTTTTTTCCTCTTTAACTCCTAATTATATTAGTCATTACTGATTTTTTCCCTCTTTATTTTTTTCCTTCTTACTATGTTTCAATTTGGCTTGGATCATGACTGATTCATAACAATATTCTCTTCTGCATCTGTTATCAAATTACTACAAGCACACAGAGGATGCCCAGTCGTGCGGTGATTGAGACATCTACTTGTTTATACCTGTCCAGCATCCATTCCTCCTTTTTCTTGCAATAGCATCCTGCTCTTGCTCTGCAGGAACAATACCTCTTATATTACATATAGACTCAGTGGGACCTCAGTCAAGGTGCCTGCCAACTCCTGCTGACGGTGCGAGCACCTGGCAAGCCAAATCATGTACAGACCATGTCTCTGGAAGTTGAACACTGCACACAGTGACATAATGACTGATTCAGTAGCAACTAGATGGAATTTTTCTCCGTTTACGTAGAACTCCATATCTGCCTTGGTTCCTACCCTTTCCTTCTAGCTATTTTT